TYCCMAAAAYGTCCTCACTTTGTTGGTTAAAAACATAATGACAGTCCTCATTCAGTAGTAGAAACAAGTACTGTACTGTATACACACATATAATTGTTCTTCTATCATCATGGGGACTTCGGATTGACTTCTATTCATTTACTGGTCATTTCTATAGCCTTATCCTAACCTCTGACCCACTAACTGTATTTCCCCCAGTGGGGACCAGGCTTTTGGGTCCTCACCAGGCTGTGTGTACCAGGAAAATGCTCAAAAAAGGTCCCCACCAGGTAACTAAAACATGTACACACACACACACACACACACACACACACACACACACACACACACACACACACACACACACACACACACACACACACACACACACACACACACACACACACACACACACACACACACACACACACACACCCTTTTCTTTTCCTCACAGAGACAGCTGAGACAGAATAAAACAGATCAATCACACCCAACAGAGTGTAATGTATTTTAATTTGTGTGTGTTTCTATAAGACCACACTATGTGTGTGTGTGTGTGTGTGTGTAAGTGTCCTGGCTGCCACTTCCTTTAATGACATGTGCAGCAGTGCGTAAAGTGGCAGGTAAGAGATTAGGCCTCTAATCCTGGTCCAGACCTGCAGAGACGGTCACGGGTCAAAATCTGGTCCTGCTGACCGCACAACACAAGCACGCACAACAAACACACTCGAATTCCTGTGCACACATAAACACACGCTGAGGATGTTGTAGAAAATGATATATTTTATGTTTTTTTGTGTTTTAAGAATGTTTTTAGTGATAATACAATGAGCTGCAGGTTATCTGGATGGGATTTAAGAAAGAAAAGTTTCTGCATCCTTTGAATTCACTGAATGCTGTCAAACATTTAAAAGTGTGTAATGTGTGTGTGTGTGTGTGTTCCCGCTCTTCTTACCCAGTGTGAACAGCGGCATGCCGCTCAGCTGGGTGTTGTGGAGGTGCAGGACTGTGAGCCGGCTGGTCAGCAGAGCTTTGGATAACGACTGCACCTGATAGTTCCCCAGGGGCACGTTACACACATCCAGCCTGGACAGACACACACTCTGAAACACAAAGTGACRCAAACTGAGGGAGGAAATATCTTCACGTCTTCTTCTCACGTGTAACGTTGCCTTTTATCTGTTTTAATCAAGCCGTCGACACAAACAGCCGGACTCGTGTTTCGTTTCGACAAACTAACCCGGAGTCCTGCCCTCCGATAACAGGTTTCTCGGCTGATATTTTCTGCGACGCCGCGTTAAATCCACCACGTTTCCTGCCGCCGTGACTTCTCACCCTGTTTGTTGGGACCTGCATCTTCTCCCCGCGTAACGCGGCCCCCCCCAAACTCACTTTCCAGGATGAGCATTATCCCTGCGAGAAAGCCTACATGAAAAGATTACTGCTCCAGCGCGTCAGCCAACCTGCTTTATCAAATGAGCGAGGGCCCTCCAAGCCGATGTTCCCATACTGCTGTTGTCAGAAACGTCAAGATGTGTTGTAGATTCGTAGTACAAAATCATATCCAGCAAGGACGCCGCTCCCTGGAACAGAGAACATAGTGAAGGAGAAAAATGAAGAAAGCAAGGCCCTAAATTTGACAGGAACGTTATGAAGTTTCTTTGGGAAGAAGAAGAAAAAACTTTAATCTGATACAAGAAAAGGTCTGAATATGAAACTGTATTGGAACTAGGAGATGAAGACGAGGGGGAAAAAAGTTTTACTCATAAAACTCACATTTTCTTCCAGTTGGGCTGCCTGCAGACTGATGAAATCAAAGTGCAGCGATTTCAGGACAACTTCCAGAGCTTCACAGGAGCTGTGGTCTAATCGCTCACCTTGATGGAGGAAAGCAATCAAACCAGGATAATTAGGAGGCTGTTTGCTAACAGGCAAAATTGCGCACCTCTAAATGTGCGTTTTTTTTAAAGGATTTTAGCTACAATCAGGACAAAACAATTTCCTTTATAGTCAAAGTTTATCTGTGTGTTTGTGTTTTCTTTTAATAAAAGTTCTGAGACTTAATCAGAAACACAGAAAGAGAAATAATGATGATTGCTGCAGTTTTTCATGATTGGACTTCCAAGATGTGAATGCTTGAGTGTTTATTGAGTGTTTGCAGTCTGCCTGCAGACCACAGTAATCAATAAAAATACCTGTATACACCGGCTTAAATTCTCTAACTGATAAATGTTTTGAGATTACTATAACTCAAAAAAAAAAAAAAAAAAAAACAGAACGACAAATAAAAAGACAACCAGGGACCTAACAACTTATTTATTCTCCCAGGTAGAAACTTTATAAATTTAGTTTGTGTATTTTTAGTTGTTTTTATTCATTATGTGACACAGATGATCATTAAAATCTTAGTTGTAACATTACTGTTCTAGTTTTTATACCTCAATAAAGTAACAATCTTACGTTAAGTCGTTATGAAAATGTTGAATATCTCAAACATAAATTCAACTAAACACCTTAAAATTGGTCTCTGTCTCTTTAAGAACATCCTACCGTTTCTGACACTCCCACTTCAGCAAGTCTTCACTACAATGCTTCGGAGGAGGGGTGCTCTGTGGGACGGGAGCTCGGCTGCAGCCTGAGCTCCAGGGAGGAGCTATGTACAAATAGGCGGAGCTTTGTACCAACAAGCCTTCAGGCAGCTCCAACATGCATGAATGAGTCAACGTGTCACTCTGGGTATGTTTTTGATGAGGGATTAAAACATGACATAAAGCTCCAAAAAAAGTTCATTTTTGCATAACACCCCCCCGCCCCCTTTAAATAAGTTTTGAAGCACTTATCTGAACAGTAGCAACAAAAAACACAATTTTGAGCCAATAAAACCTTACATTTTTGTCATTTTCTCTGGGCACTAGCATTTTTTCCCCCTTTCTAGCTGGTAAATCCTAATATCCAATACTTTTTGAGATTTCGTCTTTATATCAATGGTACAAAATCCTCATTTGAATAACCCAAAAATAGGATTTAGCCTAAATGTCAATGGGTTTTCTTGATTAAGAAGACAAATCAAGCCACATGTGACCCATCATATCAAAATGAGGATTATGTCAAATTTGGACAAAATGACCTAATCACATTTTCAGATTCCTGGCTTTAAAAGCTACATTTTGATACCTGAATCATTCTGATATCATAAGCTTTTCCAGAGATATGACTTAATTTGTTTTGTTGGTTACAATAATATATTACTGTGTGGTCTGAATCCTAATTTTATGTAAATTTATTGAGTAATTTTTGATGTCAATATAAAGAGAAAACCTCAAAGTATTTGTATGTTAAGATATCCCAGTTGAAAAGAAACAAAAACATTTCCAGCTCACTGGGAAAAATTCAAAATTTTAATGTATTTTTCCTCAAAATCTGTTTTTTTGGTTGCTACTGCTCAAAAAAATGCTTCAAAAAATCTTATTTAGGATTATACTTCAGACAGTTCATTCAAATCATACTTTGACAAGGCATTAATTCATTATATTTTGACAAAATGCAATGTTTGCACATGTTTAAATCAAAACCCTATATCTGCCAATTTTCCACATCCCACTTTTGGACTTAATCCTCGTTTCGATGTGATGGGTCACATATATCTAGAATCGCTCATATCAGTTTGAACAAAACGTAGCTTAAAAACAGRAATCTGGAAATGTGCTGAGGTCGTTTTGACCAAATTTGACTTGATTCTTAGTTTGATAAATAAACACTGGGTAGTGACCAAAAGAATGAGATCAAAAGGATTTCAGGACAATTAGAGCCACGAGTCTAGAAACTTTTTCCTTCTCCGGTGAAGTGGGAATGTCAGAAACAGTAATGTAATAAAAATACGTATTCAATAAACTGAAGTCGATTTTAACCCACCATTGTTAAATAAAATGATTTGTAGAAGGAACCAAACCATACAACACCAGAATTCTGGATCTGAGTGAGGTTTATTGCCAATGGACCTGACAGGAAACCACACTGGCGAAAAACCAGGAAGTTCATCAATTTACACATGGTTCTTCAATGCCTGYGTTCGCCCCCTACTGACCTACGGCTGAATCACAGGCATTCAGACAAAATTCTCACCTACTGTTCTCATAACGGTTGATTATGTTGTCATATAATTCGGACATGTAACTAATCATATCAATCAAAACATAATAGATTAAACATTATCAACATTATAAAAAGGAAAACCTAAGAATATAGTGTTGTGCTTCTAACATCAGTACTAACCTCT